CCCGTTTCTGGAAGGTTCTCTCACCGCCTCGCTGAGGCGCCGTGGTATCTGCTATTGCGCAGAGAGCCGCGGGGAACGGGGCAAGGCGGCCGGGAGCAGGGCTCGCTCGCAGAAATGAAGCTGGAGGTGTTACTTTAAATAAGAAATTTGAAGAATAAATATGCAGTTCAAACCTACTGTCAGGGAGAGACAGCTGCGCCTTGAGACTTGGTCTCTCTATGTGCCTGAGCTCAGGGGGCCAGGGCAGCTGCAGTCCTAAAGCAGCGCAGGAGCAGCACAGGTGCTTTTGTGTGTGAAATCACAAGCACAGGGAGTGATTTCCATCTCCTGCCTCTCTGACCCAGGGAATTAGATTTGCCTTAAAACTTGGGTTATTGAGCACATAYGCTTGGTCAGTTTCACTGCAAAACACTTCCAGGAGCATTTAGACCTGACTCAGGCTGCAGGGGCTGTAGACAAGACGAATCCCAAAGGAGACGGCAGCATGGTTGGTCAGCTGAAGGTCCCAGAATAGGGAGAAGCCCAGGGTCCAAGAAACAAGTTCCTCCTGCATCCCGAGACCAAGCACTGCTCTGGTGAGGCCCAGCTTTGGAGATGCTGGGGCAGCCAGTTATGCTACACACCTTAGGCTGCCCTAAAAACTATTTCCAATACTCTGCTGCGATACCTACCCACAGAAAACATGACATTTGAACGGCAACAGTGTGAACCATCTCACCTGAACAACTGCTCCCAAGACATTTGCAGGGCAAAGGCAGAAAACACACACAAATACACAAAAATGCAAAATATGCTAGAGAAAATGTTGCAAGTGGCACTGAACCCAAACYGCACAGAACCCAACCATAGGGGTAAATCCAGTGCCTTTCTCTCCAGCTACTGATGTTGCACCAATTGGGTTTCATGACAACGTGGTGTTTCTGCTTCTTGCAGAGAAATACTCCTCTGCAAACACTTGCTTTGCAGCAGCATTATTTTTCCTCTCRGAATTAAAGATTAACGATTAAGTTATTTGACAGGAGAATAGAGGTCCGGTGCTARTTGAGTTTCTAGGCCTCTCTGTGCAATAATAATAACAAGTTTTCAGTATCAGCACTTCACCAGAACTGGACAGTTTGCAGTGTCAGACTTAGTTAGAAAGGAAGCTAAAGAAACAGGCACAAACAAGCATAAAAATAAAGCACACAGGCCATATAAAAGAGAGGGACTCAAAGCCAGTTGGGGGGCTGTGAACAGAACAAGCTGACATGTCTGCGCCGCTGGAGAGMGCCCCTTTCTAATTCCCATACCATCATTTATTCAAAACAAACTAATACAAAGACAGAGGAGCCRGTGCCTGTGTAGGTCGGAGAGAAGCCAGTAGTAGGTGTCCTGCAGAGTTAAACCGCTCCATTGTAAGGAACACGATTCAAGGCTGCCCTGGGCCTGCCTATGCACCAGCATTAATATCGAACGAGCTTGCTGGCCCCTTGAAGCCGTCCCTTCCACTCATGCCCCCGTGTCTGCCTGAAGCCCRTTCTCAGCCAGAGTCACTAGGGATTGCACCAGTGTAAATGAGATGAGCCATTTTCTGGCTGCTATCAAAGTGCACCAAGACGCTCAGATACCCCTCTTGGGCTAATTTGGGGAAGCAAGTTTGCAGTTCACCTAGTGTGGCCTCCTCTTCTTTATTTGGAGAATAGATTTTCCCTATGCTCAACACAGTAACCCACGCTCAAATTCCAATTTCTTTAGGAACATTTGGATTGCTTGCTGATTGCCCCCTCCTGTCTGTGCTGGGCCACAGGGGAGCAGTCCTACGTGTCTTGCAAGGATTMCTCTATAGGAACTAGTGAACTGAGAAAACCCCAGAAGGTTCCCAAGGCTGCACATTTGGCATTAGCCGAGGGAGACTTGAAACAGAGCTCAAGCTGATGCCTTTTGGTGCACCGAGTTGAGCGGCTGTAGTGAAACTTGCTTGTCACATCTAGCACAAACATTTCAGGTTAGATACAGTCTGTCCCTCTAAAGCCTGATATGGTGAGGCCAGCCCCTCTGTAACTTCCACTGCTGTTTTCTATTACTACTTTTGAGCTAGGAACTGGATACTTCCACCTGCTGCCCAGATAGCCAGCTCTTGGGAAGGCTTTGCTGTTCCCACATTCTCTGCTTTCTGGCCTCGTGCAAGTCCATGGGGAAATTGTTGCAAGCCAGTGGTTTTAGGAGAACACTCAGTAACCAAAGGGAAACAGGCAGAAACTCGGCAGTTTGCATTCCTAGATCATTTAAATAGGATACACAGCAGTCAAACAGAACTAAAACATCCATCAGGAAGCCTGAAGAAAGGAGGTCTGAGGTCTCACAATAACTAGATTAGGGTAGGGATAGGTGGAGGTGGTAGAGCCTCATTTTGCTGGCTTTCCTTCCCCCTGAGCTGTCTGCAGATTTTAAATATTGAAATACTCGACAGCTTGAGTTTAATTCTCTTCCCATGAGGATGTCCCAACTCTAACATGTTGCTTCCTGCCCAACCCACAGTGCCTACAAGAGGCAATGCAAGAGCTGAGCAGTATTTGTAAAGCATTTTGTGTGAAAGCACCAGGGGAAATAAAATCTTTGCCTAAGTCSTTGTTGTGCATTTTTGATCAGTTAAACAAATGCCTGCTAGATTTTGCATATAGAAGTAGATTACTGGGAAAAGAAGCTATCGTTTTTCATAAAGATGAATTTCCTTGTAGGAACTGAGACCATGAAATTAATTCCACTTGCAACTTAGAAGCAGAAAGAATCAGAAAATCATCCCCAAGACTAGYAGACTTGCTCATTTGTGATAGCATGACCACATACTCAGATGGGCTCTTGAACTGAATTTACAGTAAAGCTGAACACCAATTTTTGTGCTCTTTGACTCTATTTCTTTTAGATTCTTTTTAATTATCTTTTTGCACTTAAAGCTTATGAGGTTTGTATTGCTTCTTCCTATGCCTCTCTCCCACCCACAGATTTTTCCAATTCCATGTTTTCCTCCAGTCTGTAGTTAGCGAGAAGTATACGCAGTCAGTGCGTACTGCAGTATTTGACATCTCACTGCTGAAATGGCAGGAGCCTTTGGTTACCAACTCATTTGATGCTTAATTGAAATCTTTTCTCTAGACTCATTGCCATGCAGACACTCTATTGGAATGCAGTCAGTTTTGCAGCCCAGTATTGATTGCCTCCCCCTCCCAGCCTTCCTCCTCTGCGTTTGCAAGTTAATTGCACCGCATTGTCTTCCTTTTTTAAAAATCACCCGCTCCACAACTCCAGTTACCTCTGAAACACGCTGGTTTAGCCCTGCATAGTCCCCTGGAGCAGAGAAGGGAACAAGTTAAGATACAGGATTAGGCAGCAGTAAAAGCCAGATCAGCTGGGGGAATCAACTAGTTCACATAATGTTTGGACTGAGAGAGGACTGCAAAGGCAGAAAGGGCAGATTAAACCCTGGTTTTAGATTATCTTACCAGAAGCGGTCTGGCATTCATCTCCCACCTTTATTACAGAAATTAAACATATTTTTTCAACAATAAAAAAGCTGGCAATCCTACATGCCTAGTACAAATGCAACTTGCAGTAAAAGGCTGGCTGCATTTGTGAGGTTGCAGGATTGGAAACCAAAAGTTTGTACATGATGATCTGCTGGTACTAGAGATGCAAGTCAATATAATGTGCATGTCCTCAATGACTCCTGCCTTTGAAGTTATGGTACCCATTAGAAGTGGACTTGTAAGTCCTTTAGAACCCCATCCATTTCCATCTCCCTTTTCTAGGCAACATTGGTTAGAGTCTTTGCAAATGGTGAAACCATGAATCTCACCTCTTCCTGAACAGATTTATTTATTATACATTTGTACTGCAATATTGTCTGCAGACTTAAGCCAACATCAGGCATCTGAACCAACAGGCAAGGACAGATATTGCTCTAAATATCATGTCCTAATTACCATCTACACCTTTTTGCTTATCTTGGTTATTTACACCACTGTTTCAGCAGGAGAAGCGATCTGATTTTTTTTTATTAGAAGCACATGGTGGGAATTCTATAATAACGTCTTCCCTCTTAGAAATTGACCTTTCCTGCAAAATTGAGAATGAGAACTTCATACCAGGGATCCCTCATTCCTGTGCAGATGGCAGAAACAAGAGTCTCAGTAAGCCAAAGTCATGACCTGGCAGATCTCACGGACTCCCATTGAGTCAGGAGATGCTGTCAGCCTTGGTGAGATTTCTTCAGGGGAGCATTTCCAAGATTTTCACCCTTTTTGCCCCAGAGGGGCATATCCCAGACAGATTTTATTTCCTTTCATCTCCCATCCCAACAGGAGTAACATTCCAGGTTTAWACGTCAGCTACCTCTCTGTCCGGACACTGCATTGCTGTACGGAGCTCAGAACTCTGCATTGCAGGTACCTATAGGAAATGCTGCACTGACTGGTTGCAGGGAGCAAACCGGAGTCTGTCGCATTCCAGTCCCAAAGGCTCTGCAAGAACTATCCAATCCCATGGTGCCCATTTAAGCCACAAATTCCAGATTGATCTGATCCTATCCGCCTTTTGGAAAATTAAACTGTCAGGGTACAGGATATCCTCCCTGCTATTTGCCATATAATTAAGCAATAATTTCTGCCCAAGGCTAATCTCTGAGTGTATTTTTCCTCTGGAACTCAGTGCCAGAGTTCACATTTCTGATTTAGTGGCATGCCAGGGAGCTATACCTAAATTCACCAAAGGATTCTCTCCGCTCATCATCTCTCTTCTCACTCTCTACTCATCATCTCTACTTTGGTGGCAGCTGGGATTCTATATTCAGAGATGTTTGGGCTGGGCAAACAAATTAACACAAACCAACCTCATTAGGAATCCACATGGGTACCCATACCGCCTCTTAGTGGGAATGAGATGCTGACTGCTCCTTTTCTGGAGCCCAGGCGCTCCTCAGCATGGGATATGTTTTAAAATTTCTTTTCTTTTTCCTACTCKCACAGCTTGGCAGCCTCCAAAGAAGCTGAAGCAGCAGCACGATCCGCCCCCAAGCCCATGTCTCCTTCCGATTTCCTGGATAAATTGATGGGGCGTACTTCAGGATATGATGCCAGGATCAGACCAAATTTTAAAGGTATTGGAAAAAAAGAAAACAAAAGTGTGGTCTTATGTTGGGTCAGAGACTGCATACAATCCTAAAGAATATCTKTCCTAGCTATATATGAATTACAAAAAATATTTATATGAAATATGCATGCTCATGAGAGACTTGGTATAAAGGTGTCTTGCAGAGCTGATACTATTGTGAGGTCTGGATGGACTGCTAGTTTAATGCCCACACACATATAGAGATCCCAAGCACTTGGGCTTTCACCACTTCCATTCCTGTCGCTCTGCATACAGGAGAACTGGCTGTGTCGGATACGCTGGATGTCAATGACTTCTTAACCGCAGTCAGGAGCAACAAGCTCCTGCTAAAACTACAGATGAGATTCAGGAGGGAAGTCTGTCATCRGCCTAGACTGATGCTTGACATCAGCTCTACTGTTACGTGGTAGAGAGGGGCCTGTCTCTAACTCAACTAGATGGGTGAAAATAACTGAATGCGAATTAAGGTACCAGATACATTTGGAATGTATGATGCRTAAGTAGGAAACAGTCACCTTATTCCAAAGTTGCATGAAGTAAATCATCCATCCTAAATGAGTTTTGATTAGAAGGCACACATTTTGTTATCAATATAGAAAAGTTACTTCAGGAGTTATTCTACACAAGGTAGTCAAGCATAAACACAGCTCGTATCCCTCCTTCTTGCAATGCCAAAGAACCTTCAAGACAAAACAGGGCGCAAAATTTCTTTAAACAAATGAACAAAAATTCCTCAACACTTTAGCAAGAAACCAGTACCAAAGCTAGGCCATCCTCCCTTGAAATGAGACAACTCAGTTTCTTGGACAAAAGMGTAGGGAAGCATATAGAAGGTGTATACTGATTTTTGATCCTCTATTTGAAGTTGCTGGAGGAGCGAAAGCCCCCGTTGCATTAATAGGCAAGGGAAAAGCAAGACAATGAGGCAAGAGTGAAAAATACAGCAGTCTTGGTGTTTGCACTACGTAAAGTACCAGGTGCCATCACAGGAGCACCCTGTCATGTCCGTGTGCAGTACGTGCCCAGGGACAGCACATGCCTCTGTGCAARCCCACCTCAGACCTGGGAGCAAGTTGAAATGAGCACGCTTGGCAATTTGCTTTGCTTTCCTGGCAGCTGGACTCCCACCATGCTGCAGCAGCTGACTCCCTCAGATTGCATCATTCCACAAGGTTTCAAGGGAACAGCTTGGCCTGGAGCTTAAATCACTTGTGCCCTATACGGCCCAGCTCTGTTACCACTCTTTCACTGCCTGGTACATAGCCAGGTTCTTCATTGTCCAAAGGGCCTGAGCCCTGGAGTCTTCAGTGCACATCCTGGACAGCTAACACATCCCCTCTGCTCAGCTGCATGAACATGCTTTTATCTGTAGAGCACCATGCTCCCTATGGAGGCTCAGCACACACAAAGTTCTCTTACCAAATCCCTCTAACAAGATCTGCAAAGAGMTCCAATTTCCACTCAGAAGGGCAACAACCTTGTAAGAACCTTTTACAACCAGCTAAGCATTTACATAGTCCCTGGCAGCCACGGAGTGGTAAACCAGCCCTCAAGAGAGGCAGTGGGACTGCTCTTTGTGCTCTTAAAGGAGTTTTCTAACTCCTTTAACAAGGGCTTTAGAAAAAGGAGAACAGAGGGAAAAAAAAAAAAAAGGAAAAACACATTTATGAACTGTCCTTCTCAGATTGAATTGCCCTGAATTGGTACCTAGAGATAAGGTGGGACTTGTCTCAGCCATTGCCCAGCCCTCTGAGGTACTGGTATCATTTGCTTATTTTGTTTCCTGCCAGTGGTTCTCCCTCCCTCCAGGTACCACAGGGCAATGGTAACGTAGGTCTCCCAGGACTCATTAACAACAGGTACTAAGCTCTGTCCCAGAGTCTTATACCCAAAGATGGCTAGGAGGCTTTTCTCCTGGTAATCAGCTAGATAACAACAAACTCTGCTATTTTAGCCAAGTTTCAAAAGAGTTAAAGAAATGCCCTGTAGACCTTCCTACCACTAAGTTATGTACACACAGCAAAGAAATTAAACTTTAATATTTAATGAAAKGTATACATTATCTTCCTGCTGAAGGCAGCTGTATTGCAATTCTACTCAAGATAATTTAATTTCACTTTTATTTCAATGAAGTACACCTTCCCCACAGGGCAGGTTTGCTGGCTTAGCCTCCCACACATAAATCAGGGTCCAATTTATATGGSAGGTATAGGAGATATTTTACAGAGCTTGGGGTTGTAGCCATCAGAGCACGTAATTTAAATTAACTGGCAGTAACTCATAAGGGCATTTTAATGGCTTAGAAATAAATGAAAATAATACCAAAGGTATATACCAGATTGATTTTTGAGGAGGAAAAGATTAACAAAGAGAAGACCACAGGTCTTCTATAAATGCAGTCAGGGTTGGACTTAGCTGTGGGAGCTCYCACGTTTCTGAGAGCTAGGAAAGGGCATCTAAGCTTTGGTTTAGGTGGGAGAATGAAGGTAGCAGAAGGAACTGGGTGGACCCAGTAGATGTGGGACAAGGGGCTCTGTGCCCTGGCTGCGCATTCCCAGGCAGGAATATTATGGGAAGGGTGAAGCCGGGGCTGAAGCCTCCTTCACACTGCAGGTCTGTCCAGCAGCCAAGTTGATTAGCTCCAGATCTGTATTACACAGGCTGATTAAAACAAAGCCTGGCAGCTATAAGCCTGCTGGATAAGAGTTGGTGAAGGTGGAGGGATTAAATATACAACCACTTTGTATCTGATATTTTAGCCTGTTCCTGTGTCTAGCAGTCTGGAGAAGGGGTTGTGCAGATTGGACAGCGTGTGAACTGCTGCCAAGCTGGCAGAAGGCTGCCTGCAAGCTGGTTAGGCAGAAATCTGCTCAGATTGCCTGGGACTTGCACCAAAAATTCCCAGGCCATTACACAGCTCTTATGTGGCTGTGATCTTATTCCTAAAGTAGACAGGTACAAAGTTTCAGAAGAGACTAAAGCAGGAGAGAATGGAAGAAAATCCAGGAGGAACAAATCGGGTTCCAAGTGTTACTTAGTAATCAAGGAAATTCCATTAATTTCCACAGGAGGAAATTTGCACTGATTGCAGACACAAGTCTCTCGTTAAAGCCATTGGCCCTAAGTAAGTATTTCATTTCACAGCAGCTGCCAGACTGCAGATGTGGCCTCAACAGGCAAATGTCAGCTCCCCTGAGTGAGGCTGAGCCATCAGACAGTGCTTGAAACGCAGACACATCATCCGAGTCCCCATAAAGGATGRGGGCTTAATCTACAAGACTACACTCTCCATTTCCACAGATCTGTTTCTTCCAAGACACATCTATCACGGGGATTTTACAACACTAACTCCCCAATATTAAAGGAAACCTTGGTCCTGGGGCAATATCCTCAGTGTCTTGGGGCAGGAGTGCCTGCTCTCTCCTCCCACAGACTCATCTTCTCTACTAGGACTCTTCTTCCCCATCATACACTAGGCAAATGCAAAAGAGCAGGAGTCTCTTCTGCTGCTCAACTAGCCTTGATAAAGCTCTAGAGAAACCCTTTGGTGGACAAGCCACTCTTCCACGGAAAGCAGCACAGACGTAGCTCTGTTTCCAAATTGTTCTCCTGCTTTTTGTCTTAGGATCTGCAGCTTCCAGCATATTCCTGGTTCCAAAAACAGAGTTTCTACCACCTCAAATTTGTTAGTCAATATTATAGATCGCATTCAGTCCTACCAATATGACGGGGAACAAGAACCAGTAACCACACAAACAGACTGAACCTCAAACCCCCCATCTAACCACATTCATCCTTTAATCCCTTATTCCACTCCTTTGGTGGCTCCTTATCTTTTCGAATATGAACATGCTAAGCAAAGCTTCACAAGCAAATGAAGCCTAAAAAAAGAGGCATGGTCCCAAATCTGAGAATAACCTCCCAAAACGTGACAGCTAAGAATTTCTGCTGGCAGAGCCCTGAAGTCTCCTGTCGGTTGCTGCAAGTCACAGCAAACAACTGTCATCAAGTGGGGCGTTCACTCCATTACTCAGCCTCATCCCTACAGTGCACTCGGAATAGCTCTGCACAGGAKGCCTTATAGAGCCTAGGGACCTAATTCAGACACACCAGATGGATACTAAAAAATAGTATTTAAATAGTTACCTATCTCTAGACATAGAGAGCCTTTGAATAGCTTCTTGGATCTCCCCTGGTGCTGTTGGAAGCAAGAGGAACTTAGCATCCATTGCAGTGATGTTGAGATGTCTAGGAATATGCCCTGCCTCACTCTTACCTATCTCTTTCCATTAATAAAAGTATGTAAATGCTCTCCCAAATGGGGAAAACAGTGTGCAAGCAGAAGTATTATGCTTGCCAGTGTCTGACATTAACTTTGCACCTTAGCTAGGCTGAGTCTGGAGTCCAGACGTTATGCCAGTACTTGCTACTCAGTCATGCTGCTCTCACAACAGGATTTAATATCGCAGGGTGCGAATATTTTGTCTCAAACACAGGCTGAATTACTGATTCAATTTGTATTTGTCACACAGGCCCACCAGTGAATGTCAGCTGCAACATTTTCATCAACAGCTTTGGTTCAATTGCAGAAACAACTATGGTAAGTAAAAGAAAAAAATAATAACAATGTGTTCAGACACTGGTTCGGTCTCATTTCCAGCAAGATACTCCATATTAATGTGACCAGTGAAAAATGGTACCTCTATGCTCCTTTACCTCAGGTTTCAGTAAATTTTTTTAATTAAAAAAAAAATCAATATTGTCAAGTCCCAGCCAGCTTCAGGTGAAATTAGTGAACATAGCTAAAGACTGGATCCAATTTGCAAAGCACCAGGAGGAGACAGTCATAAGAACAGGAACTAACGATTTTCAGGTGGAACAATTAAAGATTGGTTGTGACATAATCAGTGAACAGCAAAGTGAAGCAAAGTGAAGTGGAGGTGCAGTGCCATCCTTCTGCACTAATTAAAGATAATCCAACAATATGATGTTTACTTAACACTTTGGTAATTCTTTTTCTAGCAAGTTGGTGAATGAAGTATGTAAAACTCCAGTCCGACTTGTTCTGTGCATTTAGACAGGATGTCACAGGATTGGACACACATACATGGTCACCCTTTGACCAAAATGAGTTACTTGTAACACAGGCACTGTCAGTGGAGAACAACCTCTAGATACCTAGAGCTGTGCATTTCTTAGACCACTGTTCATCTTCTTCTAAGGTTGGGGGGAAGAGAGAAAAGCATATTTGTAGATTCATTTGTATATAAAACATGAGAAAAAGATTTGGAATTGGCATGTGGACTAGTTCCTRATGCACATTTTACTGAATACCTCTCTCACGGTTACAGGTGATAAATATTCTATTTGTACAAAGTTCAGCAGAGAAGATCCACAGAGTATAAGGGAAAGAGGCAGGGCCACAAGAGATCTCTGTGCAACATACAGAGCAGATTATATAATTGCATGTTTTGCATCGTCTCCATCCTACATTATGAGATACATTGAAGCAGTCATACAGAAAAGCAGAGCATCTCAGTAAGCAAAATATTCCATAAAATTATTGCCTATTGACATGAGAGATGGAGGTACAGTTCACTCCTGAGACATGCTGCAGGGACTGTCCCCTCCAGGTGCCCACCATTCTGTATTCTATTTTCTGTAGGAAAAAAAGTCTCCTGCGAACTCAAGAACCCCCTCTGGGCATAATACTTTGTCTAGAAATACCCAAGTCAGCTCTGACAAGCTAGTCCAGATGCCAGGCTGACACAGCATTACACGCAACCTAAAATACTGCACTTCTTGTCAGCATTTACAACTGTCCCCAAAGAACACATGTGAGACAGGTATTGAAGCATCTAAAAAAATGAGAGCCCAGCAAGTGAGAACAGTCTTCAGGAGTTTCTGGCTTTGGATATATGCTTGCAGAGAATCCAGACACATTCACCCCACTATTCAAGGATGCAGCACATTCCAACAGACGGCATCAGCTCCCTGCCACAGTTCGTGGGAAGAGCAGAAGGTCTTTCATGGAGGGTTCTTGAGACTGAGATATGACTGCTTTGAATGAGGACAAATAATCAAGTTATGTGTGAAAAGATGCAAGAGAAAATTCAACCATCTTGCACTAAAAAAGGCTGCACTTCACCACTGGCCCTAGCACAGCTAGCTACAGTAACAGCTGCTTCACTGGCCTCAAGAGAAAAGACAATGTGGTGCTTCTTAAAAAAAAAAAAGTGCATATATACATGCGCACACGCACACACACACACATTTTTATGCTCCTTAAGCATGGCTAGATTCAGACCCAGGTTATGGAGTACTATACTATGCTGTAAACGGTAACTATTTCACTGGTATTTGCAGGAAAAGAATCACAGATTTATATATTTATAGACATATGTAATTAGTGAAATCCTAAACATATACCTGCAGTGGGACTGTTAGTTCCCACAGACAGCACTGCTGCTGGCATTTAAGCTTACATTGGCCAAATCCCAGAGACAGCACAGAGCATGAGGTCAGCATGCAGAGGATTAGGGAGGCGGGAAGGGAAGGCTTCCTCTCAGCTTGAGGGAGAAGAGGAGGAAGAGAAATGGAAGAGGACTAGGGCAGGGTGGGAGGGTGCTGAACAAAACGAGTTCAGTGCAGTCACCTGGGAATTCAGGTGTGTGCACATCAGAAGAGAGGTGAAGGCAGCACAGGACCTCCAGAACAGACTGAAGGCTGGTACCTGCCCCACAAGGCTTCAAAAGGCACAAGGCACATGAAAACTCTAAGTAATGATAAGAAAAATCAGAGATAGAAAGTCATCCAGCAAAGAGAATTCCCCAGGGCATAGTCCAACTAAAAGGTGGGAAGCAAACCCTTTCAGCACCTTGTAGAGCTGGAGACCAACACAAAAGCTTCTGGTGGTACGCCTAATTGATCAGGCATTTATGCCAGATTGTGGCACGTATCATACATCCATCTACCTTGCCTGGAATCAACTCCAAGAAGAGCAAGGGCACCTGCAATTGGGAACCTATTCCTCCAAATCCAGCAAGTGCTTCAAAGGGAAAGATGTAACAACTGCAAAAGCCAGACAGATGGGTGGACGGGTCTAGACAGCCTCCTTCTGTCCCAAAGCATTACTACAATAATGAATCCAACAGCAGGGGATTCCAGACAACAGATACAACATGTACTCACTCTATCAGCTTACTTTTATCAACAACTTGTCCTGTCTTTATAACAACACCAAACCACACTTCCCCCTAGATTTATCAGTGGAGGGAACCTAAAGCAAGGCTACAAATTCCTTAGACCAAAGGAAGCAGAAATCAAGTGTCTAGGGAACAGGGTCTTTGGCTTTTCTTTGTAGCACAAGAGAACTGCTAGGATTATCTGAGCACTTCATCTAATAAATTTCCTCCTATAGCAGCATACTCAGAATTAAGTGATGCCCTTGATTTCTCTTTCTGTGGAAGCTGCTGTTTTGTTTGGGGATTGAGCAGATGGGAGTGTTTTGTGTACAATAGAGGCATATGGAGAACAAAGTATTTTTGGATGTGAACACATAAAATTGTCAGGAGCTGGACTCTCTGCCCAAGATGACCCTTCCCAGTTCTAATTCTAAGGGCCATCATGACACAGACAAGAATTTGAAAAAATAGCCATCACAGGCTTCCCGGCACAGTTTATATATGCAAATTTATCACCTTTTTGCTGATTTTATGCCATAAGTATTCCATCTAAAAAGCGCAAACCAAATGTAATTCTCCAGCTAGCTACAACTCAACCATATTTGCTCTTTGAACATCTAACGCAGACAGAATAAACTGGAGGTTGCAGTGGTTCCACTGTAAAATATGTGTTCGGAGACATCTCTACACCAGCTTTCTGATCAGATAATGAACCATTTCTGCAGAGTGGACCGAGCAACTCACTCCAGCCTCACAGTAAATGTGATTGAAAAAGTGTACGAGCCACACATGAAATACTGGATCCACTTAGCCCAAGACTACTCTGGTGTCCACCAGTTAGTTACCACAGTGCTGAATGTACCCTGGAAGGAGGTAGTTGCAGTCTCATATGTTAACATGTTATTCACCCCAGGCTCCTGGGCCAAAGTTCCCTGGAGACGAGTTAGGAGGGGCCTTCCCACTGTCTTCTACTAAGAGAAGCTCATATTCAGTTGATTCACAGGCATGTGGTTAATGTCCAAAATCCTGGTCATTACAACTACAGCAGTCATTTTGTTAACAAGTCTCTTATGCCCGTTGTGGTACCAGTATGAACCCCACTATGCCACTCTTCAAACCAGTGAATTGCAGCAAAATCAGTGAATTTACTCCAGTGACAGAGCTTCAAAGCTTATCTGCAGTAACACAGACCCTGTAAAAAGATTGGCTTCCTAATTCCCCCCTCCTCCCTCCAGCAGTTCATCAGACTAAGAACATTTCTGGGCAGCTACCACTGAAGTTTATTCCAGACATGAGTTTAATTTCTGTTGTACATGAAATAAACTCCCAGCTGAAGCTGACCTGGTAGCATCCAGCTTATTTGCAGCTGAATAAGCAAAACAACCTTTTGCTTGCTACCTGTTAGGCTGGCGACACTAATTTCCCCAGACTGCAATGGCTGCAGATCTTTATGCATAGAAAAGGGAGAATTCCAAGTATATGGTTTGTTCAGGGAGCTGCTCAGGCCATGGAAAGTGGAGATTCAGGGTTATTTTCCTCTTTCAGGTGTGCGTTATTGGCTAGTCCTGCAGTAAGACACTTGTTCCTGGCTGTCCATAGTTATTCACATTTTCTCAAGACACATTATCTGTGGGAGACAGATATGGATAATTAAGTTGGAGGGACCCACTAGGACTTGTGGAGGGAGCATTTGAGATACCAGCAGAAGGAGAGAATGTTGTGACTTTTTTTTTTTTCTCCCGTTCAGAAGTCTACTCCTTTTAGCATCAAGGCTTTGGTTCATTTGCTCCAGTCACAATTATTAAGGTCATTAGCTCCAAAGATGCAGATGGCACAAGTGGCCTTAAATGCATTTGTAAAACCTGGCCTTGACTAGAAACTGCCCCATCCAAAACCACAGAATGTCCAAGAGAAGGTTCTCTCCCAGCCCTCCAATGTGACTGGACTCCATAAGGCCTCATTGCTATGGAAATAGGAGCAGATCAGCTCAGCAAGTTTGGCTCATCTGGTAGCTTTCAGACCTCCAAGACAAGAGGCTGTAGGTTGACAATCAGGTGAGGCGCTTGAGGCAGCAATATCAGAACTGTCCTCCAAACATATCCTTCAACTTCAGGGCCCTAGGGTCTCCAAAGGAAAGAACAGATATGATAGGAGTATCAGAGGTATCTCCTCAGAGCTGCCAAATATTCTTCTACTGAAGGGAAGGTCCTAGTACCTGGAGTAGGTATTAGATACTGGAAAGCACATCAGAGTCCCTCTGTTTCTTGTCTCTTAATAAGGGACTTCAAGGTTCATCAGAATTAGGAAGGTAACAAACCACTAGACTTGATAATAACTATTAGTTTGGGCCAGGGCAGTGAAATGGGGTTATGATATTCTGCCGTTCAGACACAGTCTGTCTCTGTACTTAAAAAAAATGTCAGTTAATTTATGAGCATGGAGCTTTTTTATCCCTCTCCTGATAGCTGACTCATCCTCTCCCCATTTCAGTTCATTGGATCACTTTCTTCTGTGACATTTAGCAGAACAGGGACAAGCAGATGACCCTGGGAATCTACTGGTTACACAAGGAGAAGAGAAACTGCCTTTAATTGTCCTGGAGAGCAGCTGGGATGYCTGAGCTAGACCTCAGCAGCCAGCCTCGTCCTGTGTTGCTCCGGAGAGCTGTAAGACAAACATCAGACACGAGCCAGACATCATTTCTATAGTGCTGGGGGACTAGCTTCAATTACAGAAGATGACCAGCCTTTACAATCTGTAGTGTCTATAGCATTTTGATGTTAGAGAGAGGAACCAAGAACACCAGCTTAGGAAGAGAGGAGACTCCATTCACATTCCTCCAATCAAAGGAGGAATCTCTCATCAAAGGCTCCTGCCAGTTCATTTGAGCTTCACTTTATATTAGTGTTCATGCAGAATCCTGTATCCCTTCTACGGGCTGCCTGTCTCATCAAGCCTTCTCCTTCCACAAATGCCAAAAGGACCCATAGATAGTCACAACAGGGGGAACTTGACTTTGGTGCCTTTTCTCCCTTAATCCTCCTCAACAGTCAGTTTGCAGATCCCAGCTCTTTGACATCTGCAACTGCACACAGCTTCTCCAGCCCCAAGGTTTGGACCAGCAGTTTTGGCCTTTCACACTGAGCTGCCAATTGCTGTGAAGGAACAAGGGGTAATGACAGGTAGCTGCTCACCATAGGAGATGGCTGTAAGCTACAAAGCTAAAAATAACAATAGCTCCTTGGGAGCTGCCAAGAAAGTTTGCTATAGATTAGGAGTATAAACCTGGACACGGCTCGCTTTTGAAGCCATTTCAGCAACACTCTCCAGTTCTCAACACTTTTGGCCTGGTCTGAGTACTCTCTAACTCCATTTCTCCACTCTTCCCACACACCATGCAGGATTACAGGGTGAACATCTTTTTGCGACAGCAGTGGAATGACCCACGGCTGGCCTACAATGAATACCCAGATGACTCCCTGGACCTGGACCCCTCTATGCTGGACTCCATCTGGAAGCCCGATTTGTTCTTTGCTAATGAGAAAGGGGCCCATTTTCATGAGATCACTACAGACAACAAGCTCCTCAGGATCTCCAGAAATGGCAATGTCCTCTACAGCATCAGGTGAGATGACTGAAGGGGGACCYAAAGATGTGGGGCAGGGCAGAGCTAAACACTCACTGCTCAAGCCTAAAGTGAGAAACTGGAAACACCGAGTTTACCTTTGGATAAAAGGAATTAAGAATTTTCTATAAGGGAGGGCATCCGATTCAGAGTCATATAAATGTGGTGGGGAGGGATCTTTGGAAGTCTTCCACTCGACATCTTGCTCAAAACATGAATATTGCCAAGACTAGATCAGGTTGGCTGCTTTGTCTGGTCAAGTCTTGAAGCCTCCCATGGATGGATACACTGCACACTTCACAGAAGAATTATTGAGAAATGAAACAAATTCTCATTTTCTTGATCAATGTTGCTTCAGATTTTTAAGCTAATTATGCCTTACCAAGGAAAAAGATCCGTAACAGCTCCTCCTCTAGACCACGGCAGACTAATGTGCCATGGTGAGGTTTTCTGAGAGGGCTCACCTTCTCACCAGTATCCAAAAAAGTTTGACATTCGCCTGTGTTGTCTTCTCTCTTCAGGATCACGCTGACTCTGGCCTGCCCCATGGACTTGAAGAACTTTCCCATGGACGTACAGACATGCATCATGCAGTTAGAAAGCTGTGAGTTCTGYGCACGTCTCCCTTTTGCAAAGGAGACAGTATGTTTTCTCTCTTGCCATTTCCCTTCCTGGATGGAAATCCATCCTAGTTCATCCTGCACTGGGCTGTTCCCTTAGAGGAAGGTATGATGCACAGCCAGGAGAGACTTGCTCTGTTGGGTGTGTGCCTGGGGCTGCTTTCACAGCCCTTCACCTCTCATTCTTCTCTGCTAGCATCCCTTCCACCACCTCCCCACTATCATCTGCATTTACATCAGAGGCCAACTGGGGCAATAATGTTTCCTGCTGGAGACAGAAATCTCTTGGAAAGGAGGAGGGTAAATTAAGTTCAGAATCCCACAGAGCAAGAACACCACCTGCAAGCTGCTGCAAGTTGAGTGTCATTAGTGTCCCCTCCTCCTCTCCATGGGTTCTTTGATCTCCTGACCGTCCCAAAAGCACTTGCTTGGGGTTTTCCATTTATTTACCACATATGACATTTCCTAGAGAAGCCAAACCTCAGCAGATCCCATGAGAGGCACCTTGGCTTGTTTCTATTTACACAGGCCTTTTGCTTTGAAGGAGAAAGGTGAAAGTTCTTTTAGTAGCAAATAGGATTTTTTTCTCTCTGTATGAATATTTGCCCTCTTGTACAAGTTGCTTATCCCAAAGGAGTGAAAACCAGTAAATAACCTTGTTGAGAGACAGAGGTCAAATTAAAAAAAAAAAAATAACCAGCTCAATGAACACAATTGAAGAAAAAACAAAAGTGATTTATCACAGACAGCTCTTTGCACACCATCACAGTTCGAGTGCAGGCCATTACCCCAGTTTTTATCACATGTATAAGCAGTTCTGCCTCCACCCCAAATCCTACGTGCTACAGCATTGCCAAGGAAAGCTGGGTTGCCCCTGCCCAAACACAGCTCTCTYCTACACCACCAATCCTTTCCAATCCATATTTAATATGCATCTCACATGCCATTTTTTCCCTTCTATCAACAGTTGGTTACACAATGAATGATCTCATATTTGAGTGGCAAGAAAAAGGAGCTGTGCAAGTTGCTGATGGACTAACATTGCCTCAGTTTATCCTCAAAGAAGAAAAAGACTTAAGATACTGCACAAAGCACTACAACACAGGTCAGTGCTGTTCCCCTTAGCCCCTGGAGCCATCTGAGCAGGAATTCAGGACCATGCATTTGCCAAAGGCCTTTTAGCAAACGTGAGGGCACTCTGGTTATAAAAGCCATCTCCTAGATATCTAGGGACAACATATATACATATTCCTCTGTGTGCAAATATATATATATATATATACACACACACACACATGTATATACATGTTTGAATATAACCATGCACACATATGTGGTCAGTCAGTAAATATATGCATATATAGCCCGTAAAGAGCTACTAGATACAAACATATGGATCCCTCTTTTCCTTAGTAATATCTGCATTTGTTCAAGAGCGTTTTGGTTTGGACCTTCTTTCCCAACATACAGTGTTTGCAGGTGAATTTTAAGTGACAAATGACATTTTGATGAGCTTTCTTTGCCATGTTGATATCCTGCCTACATATTTCAGAACGAGGCTGACAGCTATTTACTGCTTAATTTTTATTCTTTCTAAATGACTCTGGTTCTAGGCCATAAGAGRAAAGTTCCCCGATAACCAGAGAGGAAAACTGGGAGCTTTACTGTTTCTTACCAGTAACTTTCCATGTATTCCCCCACCATTCTCAGGCAAGTTCACCTGCATAGAAGCTCGTTTCCACCTGGAGAGACAGATGGGCTACTACTTRATCCAGATGTATATCCCCAGTCTCCTCATTGTCATTCTGTCCTGGATCTCCTTCTGGATCAACATGGATGCTGCACCTGCTCGTGTTGGCCTGGGCATCACCACAGTGCTCACTATGACCACACAGAGCTCTGGTTCCCGAGCATCGCTGCCCAAGGTACAGAACATGCTTGTCTTCACAAATGGGGCAAATTGTGCGCTGTCTAGAGCCTGCACACATGTAGGGCACCATACACATCCTCCAGGAAACCAGCTCAAAACAAGGTGCATTCTGCTCCCATTGCCCTATTCCAGTTTAAGGGCAAGCAGAACAAATTCCAGCTCCATGCTGCAAAAATTTTAGCAGATCTTCCTTGACTAGCTGTAAAACTTTCTAAGATCCCGCATTCACCCCAAGATCCAGCACAGCTCCCAGCAGGCAGAAGCTGTGCACCTTACAAGCACCTGCAACAGACGTGTGTGCATAAGCACTCTGCGTTCTAGCATTTGCTCCCTTGCTCACTATACTTTAGTAAGAACACTGAACATCCCAGCTACAGAAGAGTTCTGGTGTAGTTAGTTTGAGCTACAGTTTTCCTTCTGTTCAAACCATCACAACTGAATCAACTTAAAACTCTGGAATTATTGCTACTAAAGAGTCCAGGAGCAGTTTTAGTGGCCTGATAACACAATCTGGTTAAATAAGTTAGATTTCAGTATCCAAGAGCAGATGTCAGCCAAATTACAGATTAACCATCTCCTTCCAGAGAATTTAGGAATAACATGAATGTTATTCATTGGCAAGCTAAAAGGCATTTGGGTGCATAATCCCATCCCAGTCTCTCACTCTCACCCCCAGGTGTCCTACGTGAAGGCCATAGACATCTGGATGGCTGTGTGCTTGCTGTTTGTGTTCTCTGCACTTCTAGAGTATGCTGCTGTCAACTTCGTGTCCCGACAGCACAAAGAGCTGCTCAGGTTCAGAAGAAAGAGGAGGCATCATAAGGTAATACACAAGGTATTGTGTAAAGGACGTAACTGGAATCTGTCCTGGCAGGCCAGAACTTCACTGCATGGTCAGCTGGACCAAGCCACTAGCTTCCAGAGATCTCCTTGGCATACATTCAGATAATAAGGGAGTTCATATATCAAAAATACAGGGCTAACTCAATGGGTTTTGAYTTCTTTTCTAACAGTCAATTGATCCGAGGGGTTCCGTGAGACTTTTTTTGTTAGTCTGTCTACAACAAAAGTTTGGTTTATGTTCTTATCATAACAATTTCCATACAAAGAGGTGCTCTGAGTTAACTTTTCATCTTCAGTAGACACAATGAGGGCTGGGTGGGAAGCAAGCAGGGAGGTGTGAGGGTTAACTATCAGCTGGTATCCCCCAACAAGTCAGCTTACATTAGTCTGAAGGTAAGTGACACTAGTTTTGTTTCTGTCATTTCCATGTTTGAAAGCATCTGCTGCTCAGATGAGCTGTGAATTTCCTATTGGAATGAAAGAGCTTTCTTCACAGCCTTAGCCTTGCTCCATGCTCGTTTGCCATGACTGCCACCAACCTGAGCATGCACAACATTACATAGACATACAGCCTCTGCAGCTTCRAATTTACTAGTTCTTAAGCTGAGATATGGACAGCAAAGACCTCACTTCACAGGATGTACTAGAGAGCAACCTAAAGATGACTGTGGTTAACTAACTAGCTAGCTGAATCAGGCAGACATAAATTTTCAACATCAAGTCTGAAACATAATCCTGAAGCAATATCAAAAAGCAGTGATTTTGTTAAGGAAAAACACATCTCAGAGGCATTAGGAGACTACCAGGAATGGAACTTCTCTGCCTAGATATTTGTCTACCCTAGGTTTTAGAAAATCCCCTGCAATTCATCCTATCCAGATCCTATCTGTTGCAGTGCTTCACAATCCTAGTCGTTAAGAGAGTCTTTCCCTGCATCTAACCTGTAGCAGAGTAGGTCACAGCATYTTCCATCATTCCAGGAGGCACCATGATCTTAGGGACAGGGTAYCAGCAGGAGCTCCTTCCCTCTTAAGATCGCTCATTGCCTCTCCTTGCTTCAGCTGTCCCATCTGAAATATAGGGGATAATTGTCCCAGCCCACACAAGGCTAAGGTTGAAGTGCATTGCACACATTTAAGGAAAATAAGTAGCAGCTGGAATGATTAGCAAGCATTAATTTTGTCAGTGCTGGGCAAGACCCTGCCATTTCAAAAATCAGCTGAGGGCATTCTAGTTCAGAAGATGTAGCCTGTTTAATAGAGCCAAAGATAAAACCACCACCTACCAAGTGGTGTTTCACAGCACTTTTAATTCAGATTCAATCATCCTTTCTGAATCTGTGCCATTGTATGAAGATCACTCTGGGCTACTGTTCATAAACTAAGAAAAAGAAAAAATAGCTTAGTGATGAATTTAACATACATTTTCCAGAGATATCCCTTGAACACAAGGCTGTTATGACAATCCCTGCCTAATCTCACAGCAGTTTTAATTGGAGCAAAGTGTAAACAAAAACACTTGCAAATGCAAAATGAACCAGGTTTGCAGACTCATGAGAAAATTAGGAGCTGACTGCAAATACACCAATGGTCTAACACAGCTGCCAGAGAAGGTAATTGCTCCGTCCCAATGTCCTGACATGTCTGGGTGCAGGCATGACAAGCCGGACTGAAAAACGTGAGATGTTGTAGCAATCCATGCTGATAGAGGCAGCTGGGGAGAGGACCAGGCCCACATTTATTTGGGATGTCCAAAGCAAAACCTACCAGCTATTCCTCACAGCCCAGTCCCCAGGACAACATGCCACAGTCTGGCATGAACAGAAATGAATCCGGACACATCTGTTTCTGATTTCCCTCAGAGTCAGAGGCAAGCTGCTAGATCATTCTTGTCATAAAGTCTGTCTTCTCCCTAAAACATAAAAATCAAAGAACTAAATAGCCAGGTTTCAACTGGCCTTTTCTGTTTCTCAGAAAGCTCTTACCTCCTGCCCTCTAGAAGGACAGGAAAGACTAGGCCAGAAGATTTGGCTAAGAAGCACTCTCTGAATCCATTATAATAGTCTTATTTACTGGAACAGATTCAGCTCCTGGATTGGRAAGCGGCAGGAACTCTAGGGCTAGGAAGACACTGCCCCTTTGAGGTATGTGTGACTGCTTGGAGTGGCACCTTCAGCAGAGCCACCTGGAAGCTGTCTGGAACCCCAGCCCAAGCGCAGCCTGGCTACTGACTTGTACTCYTGCGATTCTCCTTTGATATCTCATCATTAATGAAGCACTATTAATTAGCTGCTCTATCACAGATGCATTGCTCATGTAACAAATCAGCCACAGAAAACAGTCAGTAGTCTCTCAGCAAAGAGAAGAGAAAAACAGTTCAGTGAATTAGAGAATCAAATGGCTCAAACTAAACCATTTGCATCTCAGTACATGCACGTCTGCGCATGCAGGGAACAGCTGGGGCAACCCTTACATGAATACATAATATGTATRGCATTATTAAGGGAAGGGCGATAAGCTTTTACCATGTCAGAGCGTCAGGCCTTTGCAGCCGGCACACGCCTATGAGCTGCATGAAAGACTCCAGTTAAGGACCAGGCTTTGGGTCAGGAGTGAGAGAGGCCTTTGCAGAACTGTCCCATCGCTGCCGGTCGCCAGGGCCCCGCAGGCCGAGCCCTTGCACGCGGGGCCGGGTCCCAGGCCTGTCCCGAGCCACCTGCCGGCGAGCGCAGCAAGCCCGGGGCTGCCCCAGCCACGGACGCTGCCCAGAGGCCTCCGCGAGCCCCGGCACTTCCTTATGGCTCCTTGGGCTCGCTCCTGCGCGCCCGCATGCTCTCCTGCTGCTTCCCGCCCCGGGCATCCATCCCACGCAGCTGCCTGCTCCATACAGGGGCCATCCGGGAAAGACACTCTGCAAAGAAGGTCAAAGGGGGCCACAGGGCAGGCTGGGCACRCAGGGAGGTGCTGTTAGATCAGCACCAGGGAAGAGCAGATCAGTCCCACCATGGTTAATTAACGCCACTGATCTAACAATTAGCCTGAGCACTCTGTAGCCAAGAGACAGTTTTCTAATCCCCACCCTGCAACTGACTGGTTGTATTATCTCAGCCAGACCTTTRTCCTGTGATTACATCCCCATGTTCAATAAAACAGCTAAATTACTCCAAGAAGCCCACAGGTCCTCTACCAAAATAGAGCAATATCGCTTGCCTTTAGAGAGGCAAATGAAGGATTCCTCCTGTTGGTAACTGTGATCAGCACATCTGCCTGCGTGGTCCCGTGGGCACCAAGGGCCAGCTCTGTTCCCCACTTGGGCAGCAGTGCCCAGGGCGCTTTCTGCTCGCTGCCTGCAGAGGTCTTTCACTGGAGCTGTCTCTGTGCCTGCACATCCATGTAACTCTGTAGGAAGGCTCCTGCTGCAGCTCCAACTACCTGAGTTACATGGAGCCCCCTCCTTCTGGGCAAGCTCAATAACACACAGGCAAAGCAAAGAAGGTGACCGCARGAGCCGGGCGGGAGGGAGAGGCAGAAGCAAAACAGGGGATGCTTTTGGAAATAAAAGAAATGCAGTACCATAAACCATTATAAACCATTCGAGTATGTCAAAGCCCAACAGGGTGGAAGTCAGTGCTGTTCTCCGTGGGTGCCAGGATCCCCTGCTTTGCATCTGTTCATCACACAGCTAGCACCCCTCTATAAGGCTGATCTCCTGAGCGCAGAGGGTTTGTCTGACAGAGCGAAGCCCGGGGCAGGAGCCAGGGATCCCCTCCCCGGGGAGCAGGAAGCTGGCAGCGGAGAGCCTTATAGCAAGGGTGCGTTGCCTATATCTCATTTTAAGTAGAGTCCCATGCTGAATCTGTTTCAGGAGGACGAAGCCGGCGAGGGCAGATTCAACTTCACCGCCTACGGCATGGGGCCGGCCTGCCTCCAGGCCAAGGACGGCATCTCCATCAAGGGCGCCAACAACAACAACACGGCCAACCCCGTCCCRCCGCCGTCGCGCTCCCCGGAGGAGATGAGGAAGCTCTTCATCCAGCGAGCCAAGAAGATCGAYAAGATCTCGCGCATCGGCTTCCCCATGGCCTTCCTCATCTTCAACATCTTCTACTGGATCATCTACAAGATCGTGCGCAGAGAGGATGTGCACAACCAGTGAGGGGAGTAAGTGGGAGGGACAGAGCAATCCTTTATATATGTGCAATAGCAATGCAGCAATGCATGAATTTAAGAATGTGGCAATATCTACTAAAAAARGGGGGGGATGGGAGGGACTTTTAATCATATGAACTGAGGATAACTGGAACAGGGAGAAGAGCAGCTCTTGATCTGGGGGATTGCAGGGTGGGAGTTAGTTTTACAGCATAGGAAGGTTTGGATTGCGCCAGCTGCCAATCCAAGCAGTGTAATATATTAATATATATTCATGCTTAATTATAATGCAAAGAGAAAAACACTCAAAAAGACAAAAAAACTTTTTTAGCCTATTAACAGCTTAGATTCTAAAGTCACTGGAATGATTCATAATTCCATGTGCAGAAACAACTGCAATCAGAAACAACTGCAATTATGCTTTATCTGACTTTTGCTATAGAAAGGCCATACCAGTCAAGCACGTGGAGGGGAAAAAAAAAACCCTAACAAAAAAAATGCAAGAAAAATCATTCTATGCTTCTCTAGACTTTGCACTTTAAAAACTGGATAGATGGGGAAATTTAAGAAAGAGGCTGTAGGTTGTTGTTTATTTTAAACATTTACTTTTTTTAGCGTCAGTTTTGCTGATCAAGCACTTTGTGACTTTTGGATAGAGGAACACAAACGCGTTCTCTCTCTCAGCCCCATCAGAGAGCATCCAATGAGAAACCCAAAAAGGACACAAGGGCCTCGATGGGAAATCGCAGGTACCTCCTGTCCTTGCAAATGACCCTGTATAGGGTTAGAGAAGACAGAACTACTGTTCACAGCACTAGAAACGCTGAAGGATTTTTAAGACAGCCCTCTTTTTCCAACCTCTTCTGCCATGTTTGTTTACAATGTGGGGATGGGAGTACAGGATGAGTTTAGTTAAAGTATAGAGTATATTTAAAAAACAGAGAATTGGGGCATCCTTGTGCCTCGCTACGACAGGAACGGGCAAGCGGCAATATTGTCAGCTGGGGCGGGGGAAGGCGGCCAGTGCACAGAGAGCGCGGCTGTTATTTTCAGACATTTCATAGCAGTTATATTAGTAGCAAAGCTGGGCCAACGGACCCAAAACTCTATTTTTGTAACTATTTTGGTGCTGCATTTAGCTTTAACATGTATGGGGAGATGAAGGGGGCCGCTTCGCCCTGTGGCAGGGGAGGCTGGCACCACTTCCGAGGGTGGGAGGGATGGGAGAGGGGACACGTGGAGGAGCGGGCGAGGGGCTGTCCCTCGAGGAGCTCGGCAGCCTCAGGACAGGCCTGGACAGGTCAGGGGCTCTCCATGTTGGACCTTGCACGCAAGCTGGGCTGTAGCACCAGCCTTAGTTCAGTCTCGTTCATTTGCACTTTAGCGAGCAGAGGGGAAGCAAAGGGAAGAGAAGGGACAGTCAGTCTGCACAGACGCACTTGGGACTGGGTCTGGAACAGGCACTAAGTGACGCTTCCATTCAGTTTCCTGCGCTCATCCCYATCCTGTGCTCAGGACCAGGCAGCCGCTGAGTTGAAAGGCAGAGCTGAGGCTTTCCCAAGGATTAGCCAGGCTCCCAATTTCAGGAGCTGCAGGCCCTAYTGCAGCCGGAGGCAGCTCAGAGCAGAGTCTCACACCCTACAWGAGCAGGGCAGGTCACGCCTGGCTCTGGTCACCTGCACCTAAACCYGTGACAGGAGGTGGGAATCTGCTCTCAGCACAGCCAGGGGCAGCTGCTGCAGAGGCAGGCGGAGCGCAGGGACGGGCCAGCTCAACAGCAGCAAGGGGAGGAGAAAATGCACGGCCTCCCACCCCAGCTCCTGGACARAGGGACACTGAGGCTGCCAGCTCAGCACCTTTCACCAGCACTAAATACACTTTATTAAAAAAATAAGAAAAAGGGAAAAAATAGAGGRAAAAAAGTGTTATTCACTGCACAGACTAGGGCAAGGGGCAGTATTTCCTAAYGCTTTGGCAAAGGCTCGCTAGTTTTCGGCCTTCTCCAGGCCCAGCACCTCAGAGGCAGAAAATTCAGCAGCGCTTCAKGCAGCGTCTCAGTGTGCCCGGGCTCGCTGGGGCAGCTAGGGGCTGCTCGGCTGCGCTGGGCACAGCCGGCCGCAGGGCTACCTGTCTTCTTGCGGGGAGTTTGTCCCTGYGAATTCTTCGACTCCATCCTGCTGTCTAACTGGAGCTGCTCTAAGAAGTTAGTGGTAAATCCCTAAATCCCAGGCCCTGTCCTCCCACCTAAGCAAGTTTTGATCCTACATCGAAGCATCCCAAGAGCAAGACCAGAGCAAGGAAGGACATCCTGCCTCACTTCTTTCTGCTGTAGCTTAGAAAAGCGCCTTAAGACCAAAGCGGAATCTCGTGCTAGCCTCAGATCTACTACGTGGACATGTAGATATAATAATAGTTATCACTTCATATAAGTTCTAGGGACACTTTTTGGTAGTGGAGAAGGCCAAAGAAAGGYGAATTAGGGAATATAATCAGAAAGATCCTTGCATTTCTTGCTTGTATTTAAGCACTTGAGAGTTTATGGACTGAAATAAAAGTTACCTCCTTACCGGCCTCCAAGTCCAGCTCTGCCTTTGCATCCAGTTCAAGCTCTGCCAGCCAGTGCATAGATTTGTCACTCACTGTAAATGCTTTCATTTCCTCTCCCTTCGGCCTCGGGTTTCTGTTCAGAGCTTCCTTGAGCCCAGGGSCTGGCACACGCTCACGCTGCTCAGCACTCGTGTCTCAATGTGACACGGCCTCTGGTTTGGGCACAGCCCTGAGGGAGCTGTCCCACAGCTGGTCTGCCAGGCACTCTCACCACATGTACAAGACTTCACACATGTGGGAAAGGATTGTAAGATATATATATTTTTAAGGAGAGATACATTTGAAGGAAGAAAGGCTATTTTAAACGGTGTCATATTTTTCACATATTTTATACAATCATATTTTTGTACTGTAAAGCATTCTTGAATAAAAGATAGTTCTTAGCCCTGTGCCAAATAAAGAAGAGTTAATCTCTCTCAATACCCCACTCCTACTCTAAAACCCTGCTGGAGGCAGGGAGAAACAAATGCCTCCCTCCCCAAAACACAACCCTATGAGCAAGGCTGGGGCCCTCCCAGGGCTGGGCATCCTCCCTCTCCTCTCTACCTGGTCCCATCCTGCGGCAAAGCTCAGAGCAGGGAGAGGAGGATTTGATCCCTCCTCTACTAGAGAACACCCAAGGCGTTCCTGTCCTCTTCTCCCGGGGAAAGGCCATGCTGCTTCTCTATTGCTTTCCATCATTTTAATGGGGACAATGCTTAAGTGCTTAAGATACTTAGTTGTTCTTCAGTGTGCTGGATGAGCACCAAAATAGAAGCGAGCCGTCATTAATTCCATCACTGTCAAACTTTCTTCTAGTTCTTTAAGTCTTCTCAGCCCATCTCTCTTTAACACTTATTTCCTAATGGCTGTTGCACATCTCTTCTGTAGAAGTGARTCTGTGCTGCGAGTCTGTTACCTTGTTAAAGAATATCTCATTTTTCTGTGTTCGTCTCCCTTCTTCCTCCAGGAAGCTGTCAGCAGAAATAAGGAGACTTCTTTAGATCATACTGGCCCCCCAGCAGTCCTGGGTCACAGCTTTAGTGCTAGGCTTCCATGTAGAGACTGTTCTGGTTGTTTTTGTCTTGTTCCTGCCCTCCAGGGGTACCACAGACAGGTCAGGGAAGCCGCTCATGGGACAGGGCCAGCTCCTAACCASGCTGCAGAGCAGAGAAGCCAGGGCTCGAGCCAGGACAAGTGTGTGCAGAGCGACGTGTTGGAAACAGCTTCAGCAGAAGGGGACAGTGCTGCCCTCAGGGGCGGGCAGGGATGGCAGCCCGGCACATGGAGCTCTGCTGAGGCAGGGGGCTTGCAAACTGCGCCTCGTGCTGCCTCTGCGCCCATCAGCGGGGAGAAATGGTCACAAAAAGCACAACGAGCAGAGACCTCAACAGCTTCTCCCTCATGGAAGCTCTCATAGAGCAGAGAGGATGCAAAAAACCTCTTATAACCAGTTACCAGCTTCAGGTTGGAATACAGTGCGAGCTCCAGTGCAGAAAGGACTCAGTTCTTCAAGGTCAGGAGATGACACCACCACACAAGAGCTGAGCACAGGCAGAGACACAYGGAGTGCCTGGCTGGTTGTTGTTTTGTGGTAGGGGTCAGAGGGAGCTAGTCCAGGATTGGYAGCACTGTAGCAGGCCCAGGTCGTCTTCACCGGTGGGTCTGTGAGAGGAGATTATTCAAGGTGGACAGGGGGGGACACACACAGGGTGACAGAGACCTGTTTGCTCTAGTGGTTTAGCTGCACCAGGTAACTGGGGAACTAGGTAACAGCGCAGGAGAGCCAGAGCTAACGACGCAGAGAGGACGTCCTCGCAGGYGGCTGTGCTGTGGCCAGGGAGCCGCCTCGCAGCCGGATCCGCAGTCGTGGCCCTGCCGAGGGCCGTGCAGGCCGTGACTGCTGCTGAGGGCATCAGGCCCGGGGCTGCAGGGCTTCCTGCTTGATACCTACAGGCSACCTTTACTGAACTAAAACTATGCAATATTGAACAGATTGAGTCAAGGCGGGTGCCTTAGCCACCTCGCCTCAATATGCACTTAGATTTTTAAGTCCTTAGCAGAAGTTACTTCTGACGGGATAAAGCAGCAAGAGGAGTGGAGCTTTGCTCTGGATACAGCTCCCAGGCTGGCCCGGCACAGCCTTGGTAGAAGGCAGCACTATTTCCCTCACCTTGTGTTTGCCCATGCCTGCTTGGAAACACTGCATTCTGCCCGCACAGATCTGCTGTTTGTTCCTGGTCTGTTCTTCCTAAATCTGCCTACGTGGCAATCCAGAACAGCACCAAGGTCAGGTCAGAATGAGGCAGGGATGTCTCAAAATGTCATAGTTTGACAAGTCCCTAAATTTGCCAACTGCAGGTGGTGGGATTAGAAAGTACCCCCCTCCCTAGGTTGCCATCTCCTTTACCATCTTCCAGCACTGATTACGGTCACTAAACTTGACAAGGCCCTTGAACATCCAAAACAGCTCCTTGACTGACAGGTCCTTCCTTAAATCAGTTTAAGGCAGCAGGTTAACTGGGAGGAAGGGGAACGTCAACTTTGCATGTTTCTAAACCAGATTTTTTTGGAAGCCAAAATAGCCAGGTTCAAATAGTGATGTTCTGTGAGGATGGTGGTACATGACCCAACCTTCCCGTGAGCGGGAGGAGCAGTACRTTTTGCCTGAACGTTGCACCTTGGAGCTCCATGTGCTGCAGAGGAGCCTCGCTGGACAGGGCAGCAAGGGAGAGACAGGCAGGTCCAGAGAGGTTCAAGGTGACAAACAYGGACATTAAGGCACAAAGGCCAAATGACTTCACTCACCGTGTGCACGTGGGCTAAGTTACTCTGAAATGAACTGCCTGAAGCATCTCAATCCTAAGGAGGCACCGAGTTGACCTGCAGAAGCTGGTGTGGTGCCCGAGCCTGGCTCACATTACAGGTAGTGCCGATCACGGCCAGCGCTCACCACTTTGCACAGGCTTCAGAACTGCAGGAAAAGGAGCTGCTTTGTGTTTGCTAGAACTGCAATGGAAAGCAACTGCTCCAACCATCAACGCGCGTCTGGGATGCGGTCAGACTTCAGCAACTCCAGAGATCTATAGAGGAAGCACCAGGCTAAGGACTTCGCTCAGAAGTCATGTGATGTGCAAAGGTCACGGCATCCTCCATAGTGATTCACCATCCCTGCAGCATTGAGCACCTTCCTGGACGGSTGAAGATGCACAAACCCTGTCCTCAGCAGCGGTCTGTAGCCACCAATGAGAGATCAAACAGCAGCYCAAAGCAACCCAACATCACTGCAGACATGGGCCCTTTATGGACTATGTTGCCTCCTCACATTCTACCACGCTGGGGAGCATATCATGCTTATTAAATTAAAAATAAGATGAGGAATAATACCAAACTTCCACAGAAATGGTATAAAAAGGAAGGGGAGGACCCAGGAACTTCTCCCTTCCAACTACAGACACACACCACCCATTTACATGACTAAGTGATTTCATCTTTAAAAAATAAGAACACTTAAACATTAAGATATTTCTGTTCAAGACAACTACTGCACACTTAATGCTACTTGCAAGGGAAGACAAAACACTGCAGGAATACTTTCTAATTGAAATACAAGTCCTAAATATAAGTAGGGACAGGTCAGCACATACAATAAAAACATGTTTTCCTACCTTGAGAAATAACATTCCTGTTTCCCGGAAGCATCCACCTCACTGGGAAACCCCTAAAGAATCTGATATTTAAAAGAGATACCGCCTAAAAGGTTTTAAAAGCTATTAAATAGCGGCATTGTTTTGTYCTATTTTCTGCATCTCTCCCATCTGTAAACCACTTCTATGAAGAAAATCTTTGTTTCAACAGCTCAACCCATCAAAGGTCCTTTGTTCCAAAACACAACAGGGCGTTGATACTGTTTACACCAGGGAGAGCAGCGGGCTCCGGCAGATGAGCTGGGCTGGGCAGCCCGGGTAGGATGTTACCAGCTGCCCCATCCCGTGTGCAGCTGCTGGGCCCCAGAGCGAGACACACAGGGTGAACGAGGCAGCGGGTGCTGAAAACTGCACCCCTGGAAGAGCCCGTCCGGACCCATCCTGACCTCAGTGACCTGAGCGGAATTCCTAAATGTTCAACCCTCAATTGGCAATTAACATGTATTTCTCTAGCTTGCTCATATACAAGATTGTGGCATTACTGCCAATCTTGTTTTCCGTAAATCTTTTTGAAACATCGAAGGCAGCAGTGATATTAGAACTACTGCACTTTAACCAACTCTTAGAGAAGAAAAAAGCGGCTGCTGCTCAGAGGATAAGACTCATCTCCCTTCAAGTAGCTTCTGTAAAACACATGTAAATCAGTCATGCTCACCTGTCCCTGCTTTAGTTGGCTTCCTTGTGAGGTGGGGACTAGACATTGTCATGGGGGATTCAGATCTATGTGCAAGGAAGGACTAGGGCCCCTGGGGAGTAAGTGAGCAGGGAGAGAGAACTGGGCAGTGCTCAGGTCCCCAGGTACCTGTGCTGGGCCACTAACAGCAACACTGTGGTTCGGTTKCTGCTGAGGTCAGACAGCAGCCACAAAGCTCCTCTCAGCTCTAGCGTGGAAGACTCTAAACAAGTCTAAAAAAGCAACAGAGAACAAAGCTGGTTAATTTTAGTGTTTCTAACCTCCAGAACAGGAACAGCACTACAGATATACAGGACATGGCACCAATACTTAGAACTTAAGTTCTAAGAACTTACAACATAAATTCCCAAAAGAAAACACTAGCTTAATCATGAAGTGCTCATGTGTCTGCTCCCTGCTCACCTTAAAGACAGACCTGTCTTTTCTATGTGAATTTAATACACACACACACACACAATTGGTATGGCCTTACTCTCCATTAAAAGACATGGTTTTGCTATATTGGTGACAAAGCGCAGAGCAACTGCTTCCTTAAAAGCAACATTTTTATATCATGATGAAATAAACCTGCAACTTAGACAATTTGCATGACCACACACAAGCAGTGGTAAATTATTTTTGGCTTGTTAAAAGATTTTAAAACAAAGTTCTATTTCGACAGTTTGAAGATGGAATGTAAAGTTTCTGCTGTACGTGTATATATCGAGTCATACATCCACGCTGATTCTAATTTAAAAAAGAAATAAAGATTTTTCTGACATTCTCTCCATGGACTTTTAATGCCCTAGATGCCATTTTACAGCCCACATGATCCCTTGGTGCATTTGTGCTGGTACAGACTTTCATGGGATTATTAAACACTTTAGCTGTTTGGCCCTTTCTTCTGCAGGTTCAATCTCCCCTAGCAAAAGCCTTATGAGCTCCACCTCGCACACAATGTCCACAGCCTTGGAGTGCAGCAAGAGCCAAGCTCCTCATTAGCCCCGTTATCCTTTCAGACTCTTGAAAGCCCACAGAGTTCACACAAAGTTATTTTTCCTTTCCCAGAATTTAAGGTGTAACGTGGGCAGCAGCAGCAGAACTTTCACCACCAGAATCAAGGCAGCTGGGGATCATCACAGCCCCTCTCAGGATGAGGCATCAARGTAGCTCCGATGTTTCCAACAGCACTCACATGTGGCCAAAGAGGAATACCGGSCTTGGCATCTTTAGGCTATCCTGGATTTTAAACAGTTTCAGGAGCCATGTGACAGGGACAGCACTGCGTCCTGCAGAGCCTGGCCCTGCCGTAAGGTCTCACACCAGCAAAACGTGTTGGGGTGGCAGGGAAGCTCTCTGGATCACAGGGCCATTAAGACACACATACACACACCCCAGAACCTGCAATTCTTCACCTCCTTTCTCTGCAAGCACCCGGTTCTTCTGTCTCCACACAAGTCACCTGCTACCCCAGGGGAGCTGCCCCTTGCATCAATAACAGGGATTTGAACCTCACAGGAATCTTGCACAGGTGACTAGTGAAAATACATTAAGTGGCAGCAGCCCCTCTGCTGCCAAGTAGTATTGACATGACTTTACAAATTAAGAGATAAGCTACCTTACATGGTAAAAATCAGCAGAAGGGACCAGACAGATCACACTAACCATAAGCAGCCTGCCACGCTCTCAGAAGGCTGGACACTGCATTGATGGTCCTGGCACTGAACACGACACTGTGAGAAAGCAGTTTGAAACCCGAGCAACTTCTCACCTTCCTGCTCTGCAGAGCAGTGGGAAACTGAACACATTTCAGCCCAAACCCAACCCTCACTACTTAAATTGAAGGGGTTTACATAGAGACAAACTGTGTCTCAGACCACGTAAAACCACCCCAGGGCACTTCACTTTCTAAAAGATTCATCAGATTTTGGGTTACTACAGGCTCTTGCTCATGAATACTTGGGCTCAGTGCAGCCTGCGGAGGCAAACAAAATCACATCATCTTCATTAACACAYGTAAAATATTGAAGACGTTGAAACAACCTGATGTTCCAACAGCCCAACCAACGCTTACATCAGCGCACTTGAAGCTACTGAAGCTCAAACAAAAAAGCCAACCCGATCACATTTAACAACAGACCTTTTCAGTACAGTTTGTAGGATCTGTGATTAGGCCGTAACAACGTGCAGATGAGCACAGCATTTTAAGGTGCTGCCACTGTAATTTGCTTTAGAAGTGTTTCTTCTTACAAGACATTACAAGAAAAACTTATGGAAATATTTTATTTTGCCTGTCATTGTTTTGGACAAGAACATTACTGTCTGGGTCTTAACATTTATATTATGGTTCATATCAGAACAAGCACACACTTCACTTCAGGAGGTTCAGGTCCTCACTGACATCCCTCCGCTTTCAAACAGGTAACAGGAACCCAGAACCGCCCCATTACGGAGGCGTCAGTGCAGGTTTAGGGATGTTTTCACCCATTTCATTAAGAGATATAGAAGCTTCTCTGAACAGCACTTCGATGGTCCAAAGCACAATCCTACTGTTGTTCTCAACATCGAGAGCACTGGAAACATAACAAATGAGAAGGAGAAACGGCAAGCGACAAGGACAGACTTCAGGGAGAGACTTCTGCCGTGCAGTCGCACATGATGATCAGTGTAATCCTCATGAAGAGAAATTTTAAAGAGGCAATGCCAGCTACCACCACGAGGGGAAGCAGGATGCATTCCCGAGGAGCTGCCCAGAAGACAGCATCCCACAGCTAGTGCATTCAGCTCTTCTCCAAGTTACCAAGATACTTGTTTTAAGCTTTCAGAAACAGACTGTAAACAAGTTAAAAGAAAGAAACACTCATAAAAAGGGAAGGGACAAATATTGCAACAGCACAACAGTGAAGATGTAGTCAAAACACAACAAAACTCCAAAGCTCTACTGACATTTAATAACACCAAACTCAACCACTAACTTTGGCAAGTAAATGGCAACAAGTTATTTTTTCTGGTACAGGCAACACAAATCTGCCCTTTGGGGCAGGTCAATTCTGCTCTAGAGCTTTAGAGCGAGTAAAGAGATATAAACTGTATCTGCACAGAGATTATGTTCAAAACACAGAGCCACCAAACCCTCACACAGGTTTAACTAACTCGGTGAGCAGCTCTCTGCTAGGATCAGGAGATCAGGTCTGTTGTGGCCGAGACTGACGTTTCCATCCAGATGTTGTGAATGCCACACATCACAGTAACCAGAAATAACGCTGTTTTGTGCGGTACAATCTTACAAAATCTCTTCAAGTGAAATGAGTTTTCTATTTTCAGTTTCATCCTTTGAAAGGTGGACAGTGTTCGGTAACTTACTCAATTCCAAGGCAGAAACACCTGCTGTATGTCCAAGCAAAATGCACCTATTTCAGGGCTTGCTGAAGTAAGGGATTAAAATTAACACCTAACCTGCAAAAGTAACTGCTTATCACACAGCAGAGAAGCATAAAGAAGGCAACAAAAGTACTTCTATTTCAGATCTAATCTTATAGCATTTATCATGGAACCTGTCCAGCCTCAAAACAAAGTTGTTATGAAATTCTTCACCCAAAGACTACTTTCCTTTCTGCTCATTAGTTTGGCTGCATTTAAGTAACCATTTTCATTTTTTGAAAATACTAAGTTCTTAAGCTCTACCACCCCTACCTACCAAAGCTGGTGACAGATTCCCCTGGAAAAACTCCAAGATACTCTTCAACTTGATAAAGCAAATCTAGACCTTTTTTATTTTTTATTTTTTTAACAATTTGCCAAGACTGGAATGAGAGATAAATAGAAGGCACAACAATTTTGCTTTTTTTTATACAAATACAAACTAAACATGAAAAACCTCCCTATTTCAATAAAAAATTTCACAAGTTCAGGAAAAGTGTTTTAAGAGTCAAGTTCTAGACATTTAAAACCTATCCCACAATCCAAAATTTCAAAGTGGTAAAACAGTAGTTAGAATTCCTTTCCGTGATCATGTATCAAAAGAAAAAAGATTCTACGGATACCCATTATTCCACTTTTACAGCGCCACAAAGATAGATGAATGTCAATTTTTCAAGTGGCTATATCTCCGGATCAGAGGATGTTCATATGACCCTCAAGGGATAAATCGATAAGTTTCTTTTTTTTTCCTGCCCTTGAAATACTTGCCAAGTACTATGCTTTCCTAGAGGCTCTTGAACACATGCACGTGAAATATTATTCCACTGACTGAAATGCACCCAAATTCAGTAGAGAGGGGGAAGAGAAAAAAAAAAAGCAAGAAAACAAAAAAAGAAAATATTCCTTTAGGAAAGACCACTGGTACCAAAAAATCCAGTCCGTAAGTTTGAAGTGAGCAAGGAAATTCAGTTTTTTAAAATCCACTTTTCCTAAAACGTTGTTCCACAAAGCTGGAATCTGGGACAAGGACTAGAAAAAAAATCACAAAACCATAACACAAACAAAAAGGGGCCAAAATAGTATCAAACGTAGCAGTCTATAACAGGCTAGGGCCACATTCCAAGATACCCACGGCTGAAATTCACAAAACTGCAGGAAAAAGGGTTTGCGTCACCATGTCAACATCCGTGATGCTTTCACTGGCGTTGCCCGATCCCCCTTCCAGCTCCAAATCCTGGTTTCTGGGACATTCCTCCACGCGGAGGCCCTCGAATCCCACCTCCCAGCCCCCCACGAGTGCCTCCAGGGCCACGGGGCCTGTTGTCTCTGCGGTCTCCCTCCCTGGCCGCTCGTGTTTTCTTCTCCTCCACATTCAAGCGCACCTCTCCCCTGAACATGATGGGCTGCAAGAGAAAGCAAAAAAGAACCTTCAGTAACGATTCATCTGCAGCTCTCCAACATCAAGACCCTTGCTTCAACCCGGTTTGTGTCTTTCTCCAAACCAAACTAAAACATTTTATGAATTACTATGAAAGACAAAATGGTTATGGGCAAAATACATATCCAGTCTTATGCTTTCCTGGGGAATACTATATATTAAAATACACACAAACATCTGAGACATTTCAGCAGTGATTTCGGGCATAACACTAACATTTTGACATATCTTCTAAAAGAAATTAAGCTATTAACAGTACCCTACATTCATCAGTATGTAGCAATTCACAGTTCACAACTGGACAGAGTCCCAGTTGATTTTTATTTTGGCTCAACAAATAGCAAGATTCCACATGCCACCTTAGTAAACAAACCAGGAAACTGTTTATGACAAGCTCAACATCTGGAATCACAATAATAAGCAGTGACTTGATTAAGAATCCTCACTGAGGTGACAACAGAAGAGCAGAACTGCAGTATACAGCATGAGCCTCATTACAAGTAAAGAGTTAAAATTGGGGGAAAAAAAAAATCCGAGAATTCCAAGAAAAGAGATTCGCCCATTTCAAGTGCATTTCAACACTTCTGTAACACAAGAACATGAAAGTGTTCCCATTACCACGGGGAGAATTTTTTCACCAAAAGCAAGAGCTAACCCTTTGCTACTGCAGAACAGATTACAAAAGTAGCACCGGTCCAAGCACTAAGCAGCACTGCCCTTCTCAAGCCATCAGCTGTGCTGGACAAAAAGGTCAGAGCACCTCGTTATAGCCTTGCTGCCGAGTCCAGTGCAAGCTCCCACGTTCCATACCAGCCAAGAGATTCAATTTCTTTGGCTAAAAGTCTACCCAAAGCCTCTGGAGCTCCTTTATAGCAAAGCTCACTCTGAAGGAAGTCCCACTGCTTAAGGGCACAGGTTTGCACAACACATGAACTTGTGGAGACTGTAACCTCCTCTTTAATGTAAGACCAGAAATGCAGTGGCAGTACTGGAGTACAGGAAAGAGGCAAGGAAGAAGGTAAGGCCCTGTCTGCTGAGGAGACAGACAGACAGTAAGGGATACCGAGAGCTCCGACACTGCATCTGGATTCACTGCCTACCACTACTCTCTACGCTCACGAGATAGGAATTCTGCATTAGCCATCATGGCTGACAAGCTGAGCAGGAACCTCCTGCCTCTGTTAGGAGATTTTTCTTTCTCAGTTCAAACACTAGCACAGTTCCTCCCTTTAAACCTCTTTTCCTTTTGAAAAAGGAAATTCTATTCATCTACTTAAATAAGAATCTGCAGGGCCAGACTCTTCCCATCTCATCTCCCTGGGAGCTGTTTCCCTACTTTCTGCACAGCTCAGCTGTTTCCCATTAGAAAAAAAGCCTCAAAAGATACTGAGGTCAGTCTACAAGCAAAGATGACCTTAATAAATAATTTTTTCACTAACAAAGTAGAACTTTTCTACTTTGAATATAAGTATTTTGATAGAAGGGAAAGAAGTATCCCTACTTTAAAATATTAAAGGGGATATCAGAAGGGAAGTGGGTAGAATATCTTTCATCGGATAAACAGATAGAAACATCCCTGTTAGTAACAAGCAAACAAACACTCTGACTAAAATTACCCACCCTGTTGCTAAGGATCTTCTGCACTGGTTCAGGATCATCAAAAACCACAAACCCAAAATTGGGAAGTTTTCCACCACTGTTGATGCGGAGCTCAACAACATTTCCATAGCCTGCAAGAGAAAAGCCAAGTTCTGGGGTCATACATTAGAATGTCCTGCTGGCCACAACGATGTAACCCCCAACCCCTGTGAAATAGTACAGCAGGGCAACTTACTTTGGAAAAAGTCTTTTAGTTCACTTTTGTCCACATCATGGGGAAGGTTCCCAACAAACAGCTGATGACTGTCTGGATATCTCACAATCCGCCTAGTCTCAACGTCGCCTTGTTCACCATCACGAACTTGAATAAAAAAAAAGGCAGAATTTGTTTAAGAAAGTCAGGTCTCCACAAATATCATAAAAAGTCAGTCATGGTGAGAATTAGTGTATTTTAGAAGATTCAGATTTCAAACTGTTTATGTATACATAGACAACTACATATGCCACAGAACACGAGGCAAATACAGTTCTACAACGCAGCAGATATTCAGGCCAAGATCAACTAAAATATCTTCCTCAACAAAAATAATTTTCCTCCCACTCCCAATTGGCACAGTTGGTGGTGACATTTCCAAACCTTAATCAGTTATCATACAATCTCCTGAAAACCATTCAATAAGCACAAAACAGTTCATTCCTCCTAGCTTTTCTTACTTGGTCTAGGACCCCTCTGTGGTGGGATGTTTGTTCTCTGCTCCCTCACTCTCTGATCCCTCTGAGGTCTCTGTGGTGGAGTCTGAGATTCCGGCTTTGTCTCGGGGCGAGGCTGCACAGGTTCAAAGAATTAACATGCAAAAATCAATACAATTCAGCTATTCAGAACTTACTAAAAAGCTATTCATAAAATAAGCTGAGAATTCAGGGGAAATTTAAATTCACAGTTTTCATCAACAGCTGTAAAATGCACATTTAACTCACATATGCTTACACTGTTTGTGGCTTGTATGCTGAAAGCAAGTCTGTCACTGCACACTGCAAGTTAAAGTTCCAAGTTGCCTCATTCACAATTATGTACACTCAAGTGCCTCTGCCCACAGTATAGTGGCAATTAAGCAGATAAAAGTACTCATGAACAGGCAAAAGAGAAAGTTACAGAAGCTGCCTCTCCTTCAGAAGAGGGTGCATTTATTTTAGCAGATAAATGTGCATGTGAATGCAGGCTGTCTTTTCTTCTCAGAGCAAAATTCCTTCTCAACTAAAAAGGAGTATCATTTTATAAAGTCTACAAGGTTATGTTGAATTTAAAAGCCAATGGAGCTTGTCTGAAAATTCAAAACTTAGGTAGATTTCGCTATATCCTCCCCCCCACACAACTAACTGCCAGCCAGTCTGCCCTTAAGTGGCTCTTGGTGTAGGATTCCTACCTGTGAGACTGGTACTTTCACAACATGAGGTGGTATCCCCGATACTGGAACAGCTCCACTGGGAGGAAGGTTCTTACTAGTTACTGACGCCCATGAAAACGTCTAAAGAAACAGAGATTAACTTAATATTTTCTCCTTCAGAAATACAGTCCTGATGTTACAGCTAGTAGACACAGAATAATTTTAACAGTGTTAAGCTGCTTTTCAGACTTAAATTCTATCCCATTTCTATATTCTGTGTAGAGCTGAAATGCCACAGCAGGAGGCTAAAAGCAAGTACTAGATCAAGGGTAACCAAGGTACTGCCTTTCTGGTTCCTCTTTTGTCTTTCATCTTCCTTAATATTGACAAGTGACAACTACTCCTAGCCAGGAATAAAGTCATCAGATGAAGAAAACAGATGAAATGTGCAAAGTTTCAGAAATTGTCTTTATAAAAAAGCTGAACTGAAAACTAAAGCTTAACTGCTGCCACAGTTCCCAAACTAGCAGATACAGGCAGTCTTGCGTTAGATTTTGATATTGGATCAACCAGGTTACTAGATGGAATTTCAATTTATTGGAGGACAGCCAATGGAAAGCAGCCAACTGGTCATGATAAGAGTAATTGGGCAGGAAACAAAAAGAGTTAAAGCATCTAAACACTTCTGAACCCAGATATTGCTTCTCTTCTTGACAGAAGAGAGTGTGCAAAAAACAAACACACACCCCACCAACCTCAAACAGAGGTCACAAAGACACTCAAAAACCATCACATCACAGATGAGAGCTACTGGTTTTCATTACCCTGGAGTCCTCTTGCACTGCAGGAGCTGGATCAGCAGGAGCTGGAGAAGGACTCTTCTCCACAGCCTCTTCTGGAGCTGATTCCTCCAGCGCTGGCTCAGGCTTTTCTTCTTGGGCCTCTGGTTCAGGTTCCTGTTCAGGTTCTGGCTCCGGCTCAGGCTCTGCATCTGCAGCTGGCTCTTCCGCATGTTCTTCCAAGTCATTGCTACTACAGAGCACCACAAAAGGCAAACCATAAGGCAGCATTATATTGAATCCATTAGCAGGTGATAAAGGATGCTGCTTTCCAAATCAGAAGTTAACCACATAATCAAGAGAGGGCCACAGGTAACCTGTCTAAAGACTGCACTACACAGGGATGCAAGTTGCACACTGTTACCCAACAGAATGGCAAAGCACTGTATAAGCTGAAGGTAGATTTTTCAGTTGAATACTCTTGAATTGCAGCTGCCTTACTAACAGAAGTCTTAGTTCATCAAGGAAAATCATGAGAAACAGTAAATTCATTTGACTACAGACCTCTTCTAGGAGAAAACTGTATTAGACAACATTTGGCTTCACCCAATACAGTGTTATTACCTGACAGTCTGCTCATAGTAAGTACTGCTATCATCAGGAACAGCCTCAGGTGTCTGCTGCCTTTCCTCAGGTTCCTCCCCCTCTTCTTCTGATTCTAAATGAAGTCAGAAAAGAAAAAATAAATACACCATACCCATCTTCAGTACTCAGTGCCAACCTAAGGCATTTACCACAAGACGCAGCTGAAGCTTCTGCTTAAAAGTAAACATGGGAAGCACTATTAAGATGGAACACAACAAGAACTTCCTTATATTTTTGCTATTACTTCAGTCATTCAGTTTTGGCTAAAAGTCAAGCAGTGTTTTCATGTTATTTGGAGAAAAAAAATACCACAAACAGATTTGTAGCCTACACTGTAGATTGCTGCTGCTCAAAAATAAAAATTACTTTAACTAACGCTGTTCTAAGGTAGCTACGGCATTCAGGTGTTTGCTGTAGTGCAGACAGCAGGGTCAAAGAAAGGTAAGACTGCAGGTCAGGAAAAAAAAGCCAAGAGATCACCAAGCTTAGTGCTGATCTGCCATCTCCAAGGGATTTCCTCTGGTCTGGGAGCCAAGCATTAAAATAGACCCAGGAACAAAGAATCTGTATAACTATCCATGAACTGATACTTACCCTCGGGAGGCTCTGTGTCAGAGTCACCGAAAACCTCATCCTGGTAGCGGAAAATGTCATTATGGACATAAAACTTGTTTGCAACAGAACCCTTGAAACAAAACAAAGGAAGAAAATGATTCAATGACAACAGCCACAAACGCCTCCTCAATACGACAAAGTTTACTACCAGTGGCAGAGCCTGGCACTGGTCTGTCCTCCATGACACCAACAGTACAAAGCAATAAATACAAACAGGACAGTCACCAGTTACTACAAAGGATCCCCAAGCAGGAAGAAAACTGTCAGTCAATCCAGGCAAGTTTAACTGCCTCTGCAGCCCCTTGCCAAACACAGGAAGAATTTCTCACTCCACAAAAGTTAGTGGAGAGTGCTATATTACACCATAGCTCAGATGATATCCCTTGACATCAGGGCAATTAGATTATTATTTAAGAGCAACTCCAGTCACTGATAGGCTCACATATAATTCTGACTGGCAGCAAAATAAGGCTGAGAAAGCAGAAGGGTCTGCTTTGAGCCATTTACACATCTGTTCCATGCACCAAGGAGTATAAATAAATATCAGGGCCTGACACGCAAGAAAAATCCAGAGTGCTCAATGACTGTTTTATTGATAACACACCTTCACAAATATGATAAAAGAATCAAAGTGCTGCTTTGTTAAAATAAAAGAATGAGATCTCTGCGAAGACAGAAGTAGCTACCAAACTGCCATAAAAGGAATAGAGTATTTAAGATGGAAAGACTGGGATAACTTTAATGCTGCAGAGAAGGCAGCAAGAAGACTGTTCCATGACCATCCTGAGAAAGGGACCTCAACATGACTCCCGGAACAGAAGCTCAGCTCAGTCCAGCAGAGAAAGGAGCTGCAAGTTTCTTCCTTACAACTGAAAGGATCAATAAAGACTGAGTTAAGTCCTAAAAAAACTGACAGCTAGAGCTCAGCAAAACATCAGCTTCAGCCTTCTGTAGTCTATCTTGACTACTAACAGCTACACAGTTAGCTGTTAGTAGTCAGAAGCAGAATAACTAGTGTGGAGTTATTTTATAACATTGTTTGGTGAGGTCACAAACCAAATCAATACTGAAGTAATAAGGAAACAGCAGCTTGAGCAAGTTGTCCTTCTCATATCTTAAGACCAACCCAACTTGCCTCTTTCAAGAAACTGTCCTGTCATAGTGCTTCCCCCTCGCTTCCTCAAACAGCAAGTCAGGGATGCACAGCAATCACATCCCAAACTGCATGTGTACAAAATGACTGATCAGCTAAAAAAGTTGGTTTGCACCTAATTCTCCTAGCTTATAACGGAAGTGTGGGAACCAGAACTTCTAGGTTCTATAGTGCCAATTCTGGGCTCCAAAGGAAAAACATTCAAACTGCGAAATAAAACTGATCTTGCAATTTATCACTATATTGCATATTTACATTTATATGTATATTTACAACACTGCATGTTGCAAGTCACTTTAAACCTCAAGTAACACCAGAATCAGAAATTTGGATTCTGCATCTTAAAATGGAAGAAAACAGTTCTTTCACTAGCCCTTTCTCATACTAGTTGCTTGGAGGGCAAATAAAAGAAACACCTTGGTAGTCACAGACCAGGATATCTACAGTAAAGATGATAACCATGGTTAATATATTAACATATGGAATTAATGCAGTGTCATGAACAATCCTCAGTGAACTTTGTGGTAAGTGATCTCCTCAGCCCAACTCTCCAGCATTTGACTAAACAGGCTCCATTTAATCCTAACATAACAGCAGGCTTAGAGCAGCACTGACACCCTATAGAGCATACCTCAGGTGCAAGCACAAACGTTTGCATGAATCTGCGCACGGGCTGCATGTTATTGGAGAGCTCCCCCATCACTTGCACTACGACACCATCGTTGAGAGTAGCATGAGCATCCACGTGGCGGATCTTCGTGTGGCAATCCTTGAAGTTTAATGACAGCACTTTCTTGTGGATATCCTATAAAAATATATATACACATAGACAAACATGTTACAGGAGAACTAGCTTTTGCTGTGTGCTATGTCAGTGGTTTCCAAAGAAAGGAAGAACATAAAACATTAGGGTTTTGAAATACAACCTAAAA